GGGATACCCTTATTCTTCTACACAAAACCTAAGAGTATAGAAAGGTGCATCTCACCTACACATGAGCAATAGGAAAAGACTGTGATAAAATCCCATAGAAAGCTATTATAAGAAAAAAGTGAGCAGAATAGCATTCCTACAGGTAATGAATGCATTCCACAAAGACAGACCCATAAAACATCTGAACACTGAAACTTAATATTTCAAAAACAGCTAAAAGAAATTAAATCAACAGATGATTTGAAACAACAGCAAACATGAAATTGTTAGGCAAAAAGAAGATTTGAAAGGATGGCTTATGGAAGGAAAAAATATTTCAGGAGAAGTAACTAAATAGAAGAAATAAAAAGAGTACGTGAACACCATGGGTAATATCATAAGGCAAATAGAAGATGGGGAGGCAAAAATATAAAGTCAGAAATGCAAGAAGAGCTTTATTATTTTTTTAAATGCTGTGTGGGTAACCAGAAAAAGTGATAGGTATAGAAGACAGGCATAGAAGATCCAACATACAAACAAGTCCCTAAAGAAGAAATCCAAAGCAGTGGAAAAGAACAAATATTAAAAACAGATTCTCCTCCCACCCCCCTGAAATATGAGAGAGTTGAATTTGCATCTTGAAGAAGTACACCACACACCTGGGAAAATCAACCCAGAATACTGGTAGTCAACATAAGACATGCTCTAATAAAATTATTGGACTTTAAAGAAAATGGAAAACTCCTATTGGTCATTCAGACAAAAAAAAGAGTAAGTGCTTTATAAGCGGAAACAAATTAGAGTGGCATCAGACTTCTATAGCAGCACTCTGTACCAGAAGACAACTAAGCAACATGTTCAAGATTCTCAGGAAAAGAAAAAGAGAACCAAGGATTTTCATATACAGTCAACTATGAAGAACATGCAGGAACCAGGAAAATATTATTTCCCATGAGCCTTTCCAGAGAAATTTACTAGAAAGCAAGATGCAGGCGACCAAACTGACTAGAGAGGTATAAACATAAAGGCTAGGAGTGAGCATTAAATTTATAGTCACCTGTAGAATTCACACTAATTAATGGCTATGAGGGAGATAATATTTAATGGTTGTGTGTTCTGTTGATGCAGATATAGTGCAAGTGTTAAAAATTAGGAGAGAATGGAATGTGTATATGAAAAATATAATAAGTTCATAGATTGCCTTTAAGTGTTAACTGGAAAAAAAATAGTTTTGTTTGTTTTTTTCAAATTAGATGCTAGAGCAGTGGTTCTCAACCTCTGGCCCTTTAAATACAGTTCCTCATGTTGTGACCCAACCATAAAATGATTTCCGTTGCTACTTCATAACTGTAATGTTGCTACTGTTATGAATCGTAATGTAAATATCTGATATGCAGGATGGTCTTAGGCGACCCTTGTGGAAGGGTTGTTCAACCGCCAAAGGAGTCGCGACCCACAGGTTGAGAACCACTGTGCTAGAGGAAAGGGAAAGAAGAAAAATTGAGGCTGCTGGCTAATTTCAATATTCCTCATGGTAGGAAACCAACAGACATTGCCAAAAAGGGGAAGACTAAAGGTATTATATGAAGGTGTTGACTTAATGGTAACCATCAAAATAAAGATAAGCTTTCTCCTACAGAGGTAGGGGGCAAGAAGGAAAAAGTCATTCAAAAACACATTTCCCTCTCACATGAACCTCTAGACCCAACATGACCCCTCTCATTGCTTCTCCAGTCTTTGAAGGTGTGCCTCCTCCAGAAAGCCTTCTCTGATTGCCCTAGAGCAGTGATGGCGAACCTTTTGAGCTCGGCGTGTCAGCATTTTGAAAAACCCTAACTGAACTCTGGTGCCGTGTCACATATGGAAATTTTTTTATATTTGCAACCATAGTAAAACAAAGACTTATATTTTTGATATTTATTTTATATATTTACATGCCATTTAACACAGAAAAATCAACCAAAAAAATGAGTTAGCGTGTCATCTCTGACGCGCGTGTCATAGGTTCGCCATCACTGCCCTAGAACATGCTAATCTTTCCACTCATCTATCCCTCCTGGGCACTGGGTACCTTGTCCTCTGAATGTTTTATCTTATCTCACCTGAAGACAGAGATGGAGTGCTATAGATAATGGTACGGTACCTTTTTAAGAGTGGGGCACAGGATTCTGCACACAGAAAGCACTTAATAAATGGTGGTTCATCAGCAGTACAGGATTGGTTGAAGGATTTGTGCTTACAGCCTTTGGGCTTTTCTAAGACTTAATGTTGCTATTTATCACAATTCTTTCAATTTGAAGTGACAGCCATCCCATTCAAAATGACTTTAGAAAAATTGGCTCTGAAGTTGAAATGTTCTAGGGTAGGTCTTATTTCAGGTATGGCAGGACCCAGTAACTCAAATCATATCACCGATATCAGTTTTTCTTTGCTCTAGACTCTGCTTTCCTCCGTGTGGCTTCCTTTTCCATCAGGCTCTTGTCTTGTGGTCAAGCATGTAACCTATTCGCATGGTTTCACTAAAAGTCCTGGATTGAGTTTCATTCATTGGCTTGGTTTGTGTCTGTGCTCATCCCTGACCCAATCATTGTGGCCAAGACAAATGCTTTGATTGGCCAGGCATGGGTCATGTGACTATCCCTGAAGCTATCTCTGAGAGGGGGAGAGGTAGTTTCCCAAAGGAAAATTGGGGTGCTGTTACCTGGAAAGGGGAGCTGGATGCTGTGTGGGCAGAAACAACAGACATCTGTGTTAGTGTTGACATGCTCAGTGAGCAAACTACAAGAAAAATCCCTGCAAGTGGAAAATCATGGTTTGGGGGCTCATCTTTGAGACATGTGAATAGAAAGTTCTCTTTGATGTTTTCAAACTCAGAGAGTTTATTTACCATGTTGGCGGGGGGTAGAGGGACCACTGGCCATGGAGCCCAGTTTCAGTGGAGAAACCAGCTTTCCCACATGGCTGGGGGCTTCTCTCACTGGCCTGGGAGGAGGCATTAAAAACAAGTGCACTGAGCATCCCTGCGGGCATCTCCTGTGAGCTGTTTCCTGAGGCAGCAGCTGTACTGTGTTTTGCTTTTCCATGTGTTTTATTGGCCTTTGAGATTTGAAGAAAGCACCAGTGCCCCCTGGACCTTGGAATTCTCCCTTTTCCAGGCAAGTTACATGTATTTTCTCTCTCTTAGGATTTGATACTCAACACAGGTAATTTGGGTAAAGGGAATCCACTGAGGGAGCAAATGGGGAAACAACAGTAGAACTTTGAAACATATCAATTTCTCTTCTAAATCTTAAACACTTTCCCTGCCCTGGACCCTTCCTATTAACATTTAAGCATCCTTAAGATTCCACCATTTAAAATAAGTCCTCTCTAAATTTTACTAACCTTTTCACTACTACCTCATCTCCCATCTCCCCTTTAAGGCAAAATTTCTTAATGTTTTTTTACATTCCCACCTTCATTTCCTCCTCATATTTCAGCCCACTCTGACCTGCTGGCATTCCCCCATCCCTCCAATACACACACTTCATTGAAAGAGCTCTCCCTAAGTTCCTCCTTTAGCTCTAAGACACTAAACCCAACGACCCTATGTTAGAGGGGGAAAGTATTCATTTCATAGGTTGAGAAGCAATGTTATGATCAATAGCTACTTGTTGAATGATTTAATGAAATCAAGCAAACCCAGGGAAGAGTGTCCTGTACTATGTAATCAACTCCCTAAGAAAGAGGAAATAGAAGCATTTTGCCTGGAAAAGGGAGAGTTTTGGGGTCCAGGAGGCACAGACGTTTTCTTCAGATCTTGAAAGTGTTGCCACATGGAAGAGATAGATGTGGTCCGGGAGGCTCCCGGACTAGGAACACAGGAAGAGAGATTTGCTCTCATTTTAAGAAATGTTCTAATGGTTAAAATGCTCTAAAGAAGAAGAGAGAGCTCCCTGTCACTGGCAGTAATCAAGTAGAAACTGTTCTGTCAGAAGTGCTCAGAAGAGCGTTTTGTGTTGAGTGAAAGGTCACGCCTGAAGACTTCTGAAATTGTGGGATTGGTTAAGCATGCTTCTCTAAGGTGGGTCTCCATGAACTTGTGTCTTCCACTCCCAGCTGTGTGGTCTTGAGCAAGTTACTCAACCTCTCTGTTTTAGAGTTTCCTCAGCTGTAAAAAGGGGCTAATAAAAGCACCTCTGTGTAGGGTTGCTGTGAATATTCAAGTGCAGTAACGCATACAGGACTCAGCACCGGTGCCTGGCACGTTGTGTTTAATAAACATTTGCTAGTGTTTGTATTTAGTGCAAAGCCCTGTTCTCTAGATGGCACTTGATTCTAAAGCATCCATCTCATCGGCTGCATTTTGGGTTTTAGTTGTGGGTTTTCCTTGCTAACTTCTAGGAGTTCAAGAAGAGCCCAAGAGAAAAGTGTTAGAAATGCCACTGTAATTCCTGTTGTGCATGTCATGCTGTCCACAGCAGTTTTTGTCAGAGGGGAACTTAAAGAATAAGAAAGTAGTTTCTATATATACCACATAAGAAGCCCGTATTTTGAAAGGTGATAAAGATTTGGTGGGCCCTCCCCTTTTCTTGCTGTCCCTTTGCCACTTCTTATGCTCATTGGCATAGCTGGCCAATAGGAAACCCTGAACAGAATCCTCTAACAGTCTTCCCATGGTAGTCTTAATCACAAAGGAGAAAAATCACTCATCTTGGTTTAAGCAGGCCAATGAGTATGCTCCAGTCTCAGGAGCGACACTCCATATCGCATGAATCCTCTCACACGCCTGAAGGGGAAGTTCACTCCTTACTTTGCCGATGAGGAGACTAAGCCTCAGAAAGGTTAAGTAACTTTTCCATGGTTTCACAGTTGGGATCTATACATCCAAGTTCTTAATATTGAGTGAACTATTACCCATAACCTCTGAAAAATTCTGGGTATCCCTTTGTCTAGTCTCATTGGAGGGTGGGTGTGGATGGGGCATTTCAGAGAACAGAGCCGACTTCTGTCTGTGCCAACTTCTTTGTGCCTTTCTGCAGGTCTGGGTAGATGCTGGAACGCAGATCTTTTTCTCCTATGCCATCTGCCTGGGTTGTCTGACTGCTCTGGGAAGTTATAACAATTACAACAACAACTGCTACAGGTAAGCATTTCCCCGGGCCCTGTCGGCTTTCACCAAACCCTGAGAGCTCTCCACTCGGCCTGAACTTACTGCCTGGTCCCAGTAGGTGAATATTTCGGGATGGCTGGATAGCACATCTCTTCCTTAGAGTTCAAGAGCTCCTTATTCCAGCATAAACTCATGGAATAACGGCAATGAAGCCACCTCTGATCACAGGCTAGTTGAGAAAGGAAGGATTTTTCAGCAAATGATTCTGAGACAGCGGAAGTATTGGAGGGGATAATCAAGATAGATACTCATACTTTGTCTTGTATATGCATCATAATAAGTTTCAGATTGATTAAAGAGTTAAATATTTTTTAAGAGGAAACAATTCTAAAACTAGGAATAAAATTCCGGTGTATGATTTTCCCCCACACATACCAAGCAATTCTCAGACACCAGCTGGGTGTCCTTCAGCTCAACTCTATTCTGACACTGTAGACAGTATCAGAGATAGCACCAGAGATAACATCAAGTTCCACAAGTTAAGGACTGAGTCCTACAAGACTGCCCCTCCCCCCTGTAGACCACACTTGCAAGTCCAGGTTGTCATCTGTGCTTCTGACTGACTGGCTATAGATTGGAGGTTCCAATGACACCCCCTATTTGGGTTCAATTAATTTGCTAGAATGGCTCACAGAATTCAGGGAAACATTGTACTCACTAGATTACTGGTTTCTTATAAAAGGATGTAACTCAGGAACAGCCAGATGGAAGAGATGCATAGGGCAGGGGAGGTGGGGAAGGGGATAGAGCTGCCATGCCCTCTCTGAGTGCCACTCCCCCCAAATCTCCACCTGTTCACCAATCTGGAAGCTCTTTAAATACCACCCTTTTGGCGTTGTGTGCATGTGTGTGAGGCTTTATTACATAGGGATGATTGATTAAACCATTGGCCATTGGTGATAGAACTGAATGTCTAGCCTCTCTTCCCTCCCTGGTGGTCAGGGGGTGTCATCCTCTCGGAAAGCTAGCTTCGTGATACTTTATTAACCTGTTTGTTCAGTCGGCTGTGTGCATTACATGTCTATCAAGTGTGAGACACCAGAATTGGTACCTTGGGAGATACAGGCAGCAGTGGCATAGCCCAAGTCTATAGTTTGTAACTTGGGGAATGAAAGGCTCAACATGCAGAAAAGAAAAGCTGTTGTGGAATCCAGTACACAATTAGGCAGCAAGTTGTGTTGTCCCTGTGGGCCTTTGGGTAGACAGGTAATTGGGTATGGCTGGACAGAGGCCAAGCCAGGTTGTCCATAAGAGCCTTTCTACCTCCATGGTGTTCTCGGGGAGCGGGGTCTGAGGGATGGTGAGAGGTAAAGCCCTCAGTGAGCCACAACACAAAGTGGTAACCATGGATAGGAAGGGAAAGGCCTTGGGACAGGGAGAGCAGCACAGCAACCTCAAGTCCAGGTTGAGTGTGACCCCCTTGGGATACTGGAGAGGGATGCTGTCTGCATACACTTGTCAGCACTTCAGCAGCCAGTGTTCAGCCCTGGCCCTCTGTGCGGGGCACTAAGGAAATCACTTGGTCACTGTCAGTCACTTCCAGCTAGGCTGTCAGCTCATGTGGACTGGCTCTTCTCTTGTGCCATCATCCCTCAAGCATCGTGCCGGCTGGCATGTAAGGAAGCATGGAAGGGCCACAGCATTATGCAGATGAGGAAACTGAGGCCCGAGGGTACGTCACTTGTGTTCCCATTGCCAGTGATGGAATATGGCTTTGAACCTGGTCTTTCTATTCCTCATTACCAGACATGACCAGTTCTTTCTCAGCTACAGCAGTTGGTGCAGATTCGGCCAAGGCTGCCTGGTTGTCAGGCTGTGTCTAGAGCAGCCGTGGGCAAACTACGGCCCGCGGGCCGGATCCGGCCTGTTTGAAATGAATAAAACTAAAAAAAAAAAAAAAAAGACCGTACCCTTTTATGTAATGATGTTTACTTTGAATTTATATTAGTTCACACAAACACTCCATCCATGCTTTTGTTCCGGCCCTCCGGTCCAGTTTAAGAACCCATTGTGGCCCTTGAGTCAAAAAGTTTGCCCACCCCTGGTCTAGAGGCAGGGGCAACTTTCTTCCCCACTGAGCACATGGGTGAATATGCTGGTCCCTCATCGTCCCTTTTGCTTCCCCATCCAACAGGCAGGGTTCTCTTCCTCCCATCAGCCGAGGAAACTCAGTCCCCTAAGTGACATTGCCAAATAGGAAGGCTTGTTTTATTTCCTTTTCCAAATTGTTTGCTAGCAGGTCTTCCCAACTCAGAGGGAGTAAATTAGTACCCTCTCTTCTGACAGCATAATAGCTTCTGGAGGTCTTCAAAGCTGGCTCAGCTGCTGCCAATTTCACAGCACTTGTTACATAAGCTTTTCACCTAAAAGGTTCCCTGTGGGGGAGGAATTAGAGGGATGGAGACAGAGCAAACCAGGTGGGGAAAGTTCTCCCTTCACGCAGCTAAGCTTCTGAGGGTGGGGGCTGCAGGGCACAGGACTGGAAGGGACCTCAGGTCATCTCAGAGCCTCCCTGTGGTGTAAGGAAAACGCTCATGAGGCCTCTGGGGCAAGATGGGGACTTTGTGATAAGGAACAGTTGTTTCTCAGCAACCATATGATGCCCAGAGACAGTTATCCACAAGTTAGGGTTTGGAAGTCTAAATTCTTAGGGAGAATCTTTTTTGTGTAACTGGTAGAAAAAGCCTGGGCTTTGGTATCTGAGATAAATGGCTGCACATCTCAACTTTACCACCTGATGACTATGAAACCTCCTCCCTGAGCCTCTGGATTCTGTGATACGATATTCAAAAAACCCTAGCACAGGACTGGACACAGTGCAAATCCAAATGATACAGAATTCCAGAGGATATGGAGAAAACGTTTTCCTCGCCAATACCACCTTGTTTCCCACTGTTGGATAAGTCAGGGTCAAGAAACAGGCATGAGGAGCAGATTTATTCCAATCCTAGGAGTAACTCTGCCTGACCCTGGGGTGAGCTGAATTTCCTTTTGAGAGGTGGTACATCAGGCTTGCAGATAAAGTCCCCATGTCTACCAGTCCATCCTACGTCCACACTGCCAGGAGAGTTCTTTAAAGGAACCTGTAGCAGTCACTCGCTGCCACAATAATGCTGTGTAATAAACAGCCCCAAAACTCAGTGGCTTACCACAGCAAGCATTTGTTATTATTGCACGTAAGTTTGCTGGTCAGCGGGGGAAGCTCTCCTTAGGGCTGTGGGTTGAACCGGTTTGGCTCCAGGGTCCAGGCCAGGCTCAAGTCTGGTTTACATGGGTACATTCTGGGTTCAGGCTGCAGGGACAGCAGTTCTCCTGTGGAAGTTCTTCCCATGGCAAATCACAGAAGGGATAAAGGACAAATCAAATCACACAAGTACTAGTATATCTGTGGCCCCTATTTGTATTATATTTGCTAATATCCATTAGTCAAAGCAAGTTACATGTCAGATATTCTCCAGCTCAAGGAAGAAGGTAGGGGTCAGCTCCTTGCTGGAAAATGATTTAATCTGTCACAAGACCCAAGACTCAATAGATTGAATCTACCCAAGCACCTTGTCTTATAGCTGGTGAGATCAGGACCAGAGAAAATATATTGCAGAGAGAATTGGAACCCTGAGCCCATCTAGTGCTCTCTCCACTATGCCCTTGATTCTCAGAGCCATTACAAGACAACAGGGTGTAACAGTCACCGACATTTATGTACCCTTTGGTTGTATTACAAAAAGTATAGTGTCAGGAAAAGAGGAGGTGAGAGTTTGAATCTGTTCTTAATCTAGTGCTCATTGTGACATTAGAAGAGGGGACGGTCACTGATCCGATAAATCTATGAGGGCTTACCTGGAAGGGCTGCTTTCTAGCAGCAGCAGAGCAGGGACTGAGCAGTGAGGTCTGTGGCTGCTGCTCTGGTAGAAAGCTTGGCCAGGAGGGATGTCTTCTCCTGAGGCTGTGGGGAGCTTGCAGTATGTAGCCCGTGGGTGCTCCCTGGCTGAGAAGCAGCCATTTCTCAGAAAATCAGTCCTCTCCTGCTTTCCATGGTTTTCTCTCCCGCCAGGGACTTGGAGGGGAGACAGTGGTTTGTTTCCAAGTGTTTTCTTGCTAGTTGTGCGTTTTCCCATTTGCCATTTCTCTGCTGCCTCCCTTCCCACTCCCTCTCCATGTTCTGGTCTGTGACCTACTTATCATCTAGAAGCGCAGCAGAAGCTGTGTGACCATGGGCCAGCCACCTAACCCCTCTGAACCACAAGGGCTTCATCAGCAAATGGTTCTATCTGTGCCCTCACTGCCCTGCCCACACACAAGACAGCATGGTGCTCAGACAGAATGTTCCAGCCTGTGCCACCCCCTCTGACCTGAGCCCCTCTCACTGCTTCCCCACAGGGACTGCATCATGCTCTGTTGTCTGAACAGCGGAACCAGCTTCGTGGCCGGCTTTGCCATCTTCTCGGTCCTGGGCTTCATGGCATATGAGCAGGGGGTACCTATTGCCGAGGTGGCAGAGTCAGGTAAGTGCCAAAGGTTGGTGAGGTGTTGGGTGGTGGTTACACTGAAAATACTCTCTTTCTCCTCAGCACATTCTCCTGGGTCAGGTCTTAGGAGGTGATCCACCATCTGTCCTCTAATAGGATCCTGGGAATTACCTGAGAGAGAAACATTGACACCTCCTCACTCCAGAATCTAAGCATCTCTCCCTCTTTCTTCCTCTCTCTCTAAAATTAATAAAAACATTAAAAAATAATAATCTCTGGTGGGACATTTTTCGGGAGTAGCAGAGGGCGCCTGCCCTCTCTGGCCTTCATCTACTTAATGCCAGTCATGCCCGCATTCATTGTGACAGCCTCATTCATTGTGTAGATTCTGCCTCCTCAACGCTGCTCCTCCTCATCCACTCTTCCCCAACTCCACTGTCCCCACCAGCCCAGACCACCATCACCACTCACCTGGATGACTGCAGGCACCTTTCACTGGCCTTCTTGCCTCCACTGTGACCCCTCTATTCCACATGCTACCCTGCAGAGTAATTTTTTCCACCGTGTCAGTCTGATCCTGTCCTTCTCTAATATAAAGCCTTTGTTGGCTCCTCAAAGAGCTAACCTCTTAGCATGGCCCCATGCTCCTGCATTGCCCAGCTCCTTTGGCCTCCCCACCCTCCTCACCTGCTGCATTCCCCCCATGCTCTCTGTGCCCCACCTCAGTAGCCAGCTTTCACTTCTGTGACATAGCTCACTTCCTCCTACCCCAGAGCCTTTGCACATGCTGTTCCTACTGCTCAAAGAGCCTCTCTCTCCCTTTCCTTTTCTAGATGCAGATTCATGAGTGTGACATTCTTTTTTTTTTTTTTTTAATATATTTTATTGATTTTTTACAGAGAGGAAGGGAGAGAGATAGAGAGTTAGAAACATCGATGAGAGAGAAACATCGATCATCTGCCTCCTGCACATCTCCTACTGGGGATGTGCCCGCAACCCTGGTACATGCCCTTGACCGGAATCGAACCTGGGACCCTTCAGTCCACAGGCCGACGCTCTATCCACTGAGCCAAACCGGTTTCGGCAAGTGTGACATTCTTAAGTATAGATTGCTGTGTGTTTGTATCACACTATAGGCAGGGTTATTGCTACTGAGGTGTGCAAAATGGTGAATAATTCTTTCCTTGATTTGCATGATGTTTGAATTATGGAAAAATTCAGTATTTATTAAAAAGTACAAAAATCGTTTGTGTTTACATGACAGAGTTAGATTCTCATCTGAGATAAGTCTAAAATGGTTTTTCTCCGACAAGAATGTCCAGTGGGCCCTGACGGGTGCGGCTCAGTTGGTTGGGCGTCGTCCTGGGGCGGTTGTCTCTCATACGCCACCTCACCAAGTCCTTACAGCACCTCTGTGAGGTGCTCTCTCGGGTCCTCCACTGGTGGCCAGGCAGAATGTGCCTCACCACAGACTGACCACGTCAGAATATCTAGGTTGGGCCTGAGAACCTGCATTTTCATAAGAATGCTTCTCGCCCTGATGATAATAGTAGAGACAGGTCTGTTCAGAGAAAGGTCTATGTGTTAGACCAGGGGTGGGCAAACTTTTTGACTCAAGGGCCACAATGGGTTCTTAAACTGGACCGGAGGGCCGGAACAAAAGCATGGATGGAGTGTTTGTGTGAACTAATATAAATTCAAAGTAAACATCATTCATAAAAGGGTACGGTCTTTTTTTTCAATAGTTTTATTCATTTCAAACGGGCCGGATCCAGCCCGCGGGCCGTAGTTTGCCCACGGCTGTGTTAGACCAACCTGGGTTTGAATCCTGACCCTTGCAGACCCTGGCTTTCCTCTCTATGCCTCTGCTAGCTCATCTGCAAAATGGGCATCATAATAGTACCAACCACTTGGGGTGGTTGGGAGATTTAAGTGAGTTGAGTGAGAGTTAGACGCAACACCTGGCACAAAGGAAGCATCAGTACACGATGGATTAGAATCACAGTGAATGAGGGACTGAACTCCACCCAGCACCTTCTCTCTCTGCTTCCTCTCCAGGCCCTGGCCTGGCCTTTATTGCTTACCCCAAGGCTGTCACCATGATGCCTCTGTCCCCACTGTGGGCCACCTTGTTCTTCATGATGCTCATCTTCCTGGGCCTGGACAGCCAGGTAAGGTGCTGGAGGAAGGGGGCAGCCCAGGCCGGGAGGGCAGGGAGGCTCTTGGGCCTAGTCACCACCTCCTGGTCCTGGTCATCAGGGCCCTGCCTTTTGTCCCCACCCTGCTTTCCTGCCAGCACACCCTCTATCCCCTAGGTGGCCTCCACAATCACCCGCAAACATAGCTACTTGGGTCCCTCCAAGTCTTCCCAAACAGTCTTTTCCTTACCTGGAATTCCCAACTCCCAGTTCAAGTTTTTTAAACACTCTTAAATACTTCCATTCTGGCAAATACCAATGGTACCACCTGGCAAAGCAGAAGAAATGCTCAGGAGGTGGGCAGTGATTAGAGATATCTTAGCCCGACTAGCATGTGTCCCTGTCTCAACCAGGGACATAGGAAAGCATCTCCTCTCCTCCTGCATCTCTGTATTGAGGCCACCATGACATCCCCCAGGCAGCCCCCTGGTCCTCAGTGCCACCACCAGCTCCCCATTCCCCACATCTCACCTGCCTGCTTCTGTTGTCAGTTCCTATAGGGCTGTCTCAACCCGCCCTACACTTGGCAGTCTTCCTTCCTCAGTGAAGGGTGTATAGTTAGGACTAGCGGTTTGTCATGTATCTCACACAGATGCATGCACTTACATCCTCTCACACTGTAACACTCCCCCAGCCTGTCCTCCCAATCCTCTCCTGGTTTTTCAGCCAGAATCCTATAGCCTTCAGTGGCTCTTCAGTCCCAGAAATCGACCTTTGCCCCACTGCTCCATCGCAGCTGGTTCCCCTAAGAGCCCCAGAGAATGTCCTCCAGGCAACGCCTGGCTCTTCTATCAGACTGGGGTCTATTGCAAGGTGCTGCTCATCACCATGACCTTGTGCGAGTCACTTTGCACCAAGCCCCATGGCTGGTGTGTCTGTCAACCCATCCAAGTCCAGTTTCTTCCCCTGAATGGTTTCTCAGAAACTGCTAAGCCAGGCCAAGCTGCTGAAGTACCGGGTGTTTCTGCTGATAATCTTCCCTCCATTGTCGTTCCTAATCTTCCCCTCATTGTTGTGGTAGAGGCCTCAGAAGGGGTCTCGGCTTGTGTGAGTCAGGGACAGGCTCGCCTGGGCGCAGGGAGGTGGGGTGGGGCCTTGGCTCTGTGAGTCCCTGGGCTGAGCTGGGCCAGCAACTGGGCTGAGATGCTGTGTTTGCCAGGGGGTGAGGGGGTTTGGCATGGAGGGCAGATGGCCGCTCTGCTCACCCCCACATGCTGTACTTGCTTTGTGCCTGGGCTCTGTCCTCAGCTCTTTGTCACAATAACCACACAGGCTGGGGGCTCCTTTTGTTATTCTCATTTGCAGATGAAGAAACTGAGGTTCAGAGATGCCAAGTAGCTTACAGGGACATGCACCCAGGTCTGTGTGCCTGTTAGTGAACCTGCTCTGATGTCTCTCTGGGTTCAGTCCTGGATGAACCTTGCTGTAGAGCCTCGGCTTTGGGGTCTGGGCTGGTTTTGAGTCCCTGCCCCACACCTCTTGCCCACTGTGTAACGCTAGGCTAATCACTTCCCCTCTCTGTGCTATAGTCCCTTTGCACAATGAGGATGCAGGTGCCTTTCCTGAGGAGGTAAAATGAATCATAAAGGATTTGGGACCAAGAAATGGTTCTGCTCACTCCCCCTCCCCTCCCCACCCCAGACTCACGCCATGGCAACACAGGGACTGGGGGCTGCTTTAGCTCTAATTGCCTCCACCCAGAAGCAAAGGATGGGGGACTGTCACAAGTCAAGTGCTGCCTGCCCGCAGAGACTGACCAGAGCCTGCTGCCCACAGAGCACTCAGCTCTCGGGACTCCTGTCTTCCTCACAAGCAGAGGCTGGATCTCATTTACGTCACTGACCCCAGGACAGGGCCCAGCACATAGGCCTTTCTTTGGCAGGCAGCATGGGGGAGAAGGAGTACTAGAGTCAAGAGACCCCAGTTCAGGTCCTGACGCTGCCACTTCCTTGCTGAGTGACCTTGGGTAGGTTACTTCCCCTCTCTGAGCCTCAGGGTCCTGGAGGCCTGTAAGTGCTGGGATTGGTGCTGTTACTCCCGGGCCCTCCGTCCCTGTGAGTGAGTGTGGGAATGAAGGTAAGCCCCGTGGGGAGGAAGGCCAGGGTTAGGCTTGCTGTGGTCGCCACGGCCAGGGCCACTGAAATCCCCCTTTCCTTGGGCTTCACACCATCGTGTCTACCCCATGCAGTTTGTGTGTGTGGAAAGCCTTGTGACTGCCGTGGTGGACATGTACCCGAAGGTCTTCCGGAGGGGCTATCGGCGGGAGCTGCTGATCCTGGCCCTGTCGGTCGTCTCCTATTTTCTGGGCCTCGTGATGTTAACGGAGGTGAGTGTTAACGGAGGACAGGCACCGGGGTGAAGTGCCTGGGTTTGGGGTTGGGCAGGTCTGATGTCATATCCTAGTCTGGAGTGGAGTAGCTGTGTGTCCCAGCCAGGTCTAGTGCCTTCTCTGTGACTCGGGTCTTTCATCTTCCCAATGGGGTGTTGTGGGAATCTCACGGAAGTTCTCAGTGAGTCTCAGCACAGTGCCTTGCTGTGTAAATGCTCAGCTAAAGGTCACTGCTGTCATGACCAGGAGGAATAAAGCTCACAGAGGAGAATGCTGGGATTGATGCATGGGCCACCCCAATAGTCACTTGTAACTTCAAATAGTTACTGTTATTGGGCTAAAGTTCAAAGCAGAATTTTCTGGAGCATCTCTGAGAACAGACACACACGATGATGTTTGGCACGTTCAGGCGCGGTGTTCTAGCTCCAGCCCTCCTGTGCGCCCATCTTCTTGTCTCCAGTGGGCCTGTGGGTGAGGAGGAGTTCATCATGACCCTCAAATTAAGACTGCACCATAAAGTCATGTTTCTCTCCCCCTCCTGCAGCCATCCTGCTCATAAATACTTTTCAAGTACCTTGGGAAGGTGACATTAGGTATCTTTCTCCCTCACTAAAAAAAATTAATTTAAAAAGCAAAAAAAAAAAAGAGAGAGAGAGAGCCTGTTGCTTAGCGACAAGAAGAGGTTTATAAGAAACATGGGAAGAAATGAGGAAACGCAGAATCAGTCAAAGTAGCTGCTGTAATACCGAGATCCGCCCATTGAACCTCCTCGTCTTCTACTTCTCAGCCAAATGCTGCTGCCTCCTGGAAGCCACCTCTGCTTTCCTTCCCCACAGCACTCTTTCCCAGCTCAGCCCAGCCTCCCTCCCACCGTTGCCCCCAGCAGACCCTGAGGTCCACAGAGAGACCTTGCTTGGCTCTAGCCCCCCAGGGCCTGCTGGAGTGGGCACTTGCTGCGAGGTGGCTGGTGTGATTACTGCTCCTAGTCATTGTCACATTAACGGGAGTGATCATCAGTGTTTGAGCAAATGAATGGTGTGGCACTTTTTCTTGCCGTCTCGCTTCTCCCCAGGCAGAGGAACCGGGGCTGCTGTGAGCAGGGCCTCATTAAGTGCTGATTAATTATGCAGAGTCTTTTGTCACACACAAATTAGGGGTTAACCTGACGAGTTAAAGAGGCTGATGAGGACAAGACTGCAAGAGCAAGCATTGGCATGGGCAGCACTGGCTTGGCGCAGGCAGTGCAAGGTCCTTGTGGCCTCTGGCCCTGGGCACCACCAGCTCTCGGAGCCTTCATGTCTGCCCTCCACCTGAAGCCTCGGGCTGCCCAAGGGTGCCTGGCAGCCCCCAGGGCCCTGCAGGAAGCCAACACTTGGCTGCCTGAGACCATGACTTCACATGTCGCCCTTCTGCCTCCACAGAGGAATATCGGTGCAATCACACAGGGGAAGTTCAAATTGCCAAATGGGCCGTGTCGGCCTCGGCCTTCACAGTAATTGCTGGCAAGAGCTTCTCCCTCATTTATAGACATTTAAAGCTCAGCTTATGTTCCACCGAGGCAGTATAGTGGGTGGTTAAGGGCATGGCCACCTGGGTTCACTCCTCGGCTCTATGACTGGCTAGCTGGGCGATGTTCAGCAAGTGTTCTCACTGCTCTGTGGCTCCGTTTTTCCATGTGCACATTGGGGATGACAATAGTGCCTGCCCTGTAATAGGTCAGCTGAGTGTGCACCTCCTGGGCCTCCCACTGAACTTAATCATCACAGATTTGTATATTACAGATCTGGCCCAGGTCATTCCTATAAAAATTGCCTGCACACCTCGATGTGCCACGCCTGGGCCAAAACGGGGACACAGTGTAGACAAGCCAGTCAGAGTCCCTCCTCCGTGGTCTCTCACTCTATACAATTCAGTTTGCACTTACAGGGGACCTGCTGTGAGCCAGGCTCTGTAATGAGGGCCATAAAGAGGACTGGTGTGCCTTCCCAGCCGGAGCTCAGCACCAACTGAAAGGGGAATACTTTTTTAAATTCTAAGTTCATAAAAGCATGCTGTGGAAGCCCAAAGAAATAATGAGGCTGTCAGGGAGGGCTTCTTGGAGGAGGTAGCATTTGAGCTGAGTTTTGAAGGAACTTACAAGTGAAAGGGAGCAGCATGTTCAAAGGCAGAGCGGTGAGACTGTGCCTCAGTCTGTCCAGGAGGGAGCATGTTGAGGGTGGCTGGTGGTAAGGGGTGGTGAGGCCAAGTGAGGAGGGCGGTCCTGATTGGCAGGCTTAAGGAAGCCAACGGGCAATATCAAACTGTGGAGTGGCATGGCTGCATTTGCATATTAGCAAGGTCCCTGTGAAAGCTGGTGCACAGAAGGATTGGCAAGGTTGAGGCTAGGGAGGAGGCAGGGAGGTTGTTAGCGCCATTAGGGAGAGGTGCTAAGGCTGCCCAACCTCCAGTCTCTGATTTCCTGTGTTGTTTCTAGCATTGGGGAGCAAAGACAAGAAAAATCATTATGACCCCAACAATTCCCAGAGGATGGTGTCTTAGGGGTGCCCAGGGGGAGAGGGTGCAATGTTCTAGGGATTAGGGGGAAGCAGTCTGCCCTGGTGGATGTGACTCCTGGCTGATGGTAGGCACAAGGCAGAGCAGAGGGCCCTTCCCAAGGCCAGCTGGCTGATCCTGCTCCCTCATGTGTCTGTCCATTTCTCTGTCCATGTGTCTGTCCTCTCACCCCATAGGGTGGCATGTACATCTTCCAGCTCTTTGACTCCTATGCCGCCAGTGGGATGTGCCTTCTCTTTGTGGCCATCTTTGAGTGTGTCTGCATCGGCTGGGTGTACGGTGAGTCACAGCCAAGCCCGCCCACACTTCTGTGGCATCAGTGCCCAGGACACAGGCGCCCACAGCAGGAGTGGGCTCAGGTTCTCTGTGGCCCGTCTCCATCAATGTCAGCCTCATCCTCCTTCCCTTCAGAGACTCCTTGGCCCTTCCTACATTCCTGCTTCTATATCCCCACAACACAGAGAGGGGTTTCAGGTTTAGGGACTATGACCTTGGGCCAATTCTTTTACCCTGAGACTCGGTTTTCCCATCTGCAGAATGGGGTCATCATTATGTCTCCAAGTAGGAGATAATGTAGGCAAAGCAGGCAGCACATTGCCTGGCCTCAGTAAATACCTGCCTTCTGGTCCTCCTGTTCCTGGAACGAGTTGGACATTTGATGATGATGGATATTCCTTCTGTGAACTTGGCCCTTGCAGCTACTCTGCTCATTAGCAGCCCAGCCAGGCCCTGGCCTCCATGCAAGTCAGCCAGCACCTCACCCTGCTTCTCCAGAGACCACTTTCCACCTCTCTCCCACAGACTCCTCACCGTTTCCTGGGCTTCACTGTCCAAGGTCAGGAGGGATCCTTCCAATAGCAGATCAGAATCCCTCCTTCTATAGTTCATCCCGAAACCTCACATAGGTATAACGTCTTGGGAGTTTTAAGCAGTAATGAACCAGGTCCCTGCCATGATTTGTCTGTGTCCAGCTGGGGAAAGCAAACCCTTCTAGCCTTCCCTCTGAGTCTTGTACAAATTCTCGGGTGTGTGCCTGTTTTATTCTGAACAGGAAGCAACCGCTTCTATGACAACATCGAAGACATGATTGGCTACCGGCCATTGTCGCTCATTAAATGGTGCTGGAAGGTCGTGACCCCCGGGATCTGTGCGGTAAGCGACCACACACCCAATCTCTTTTCCACTCCAGACCTGGCTGAGCTAAAACTGAGGAGGTGACATCACCTGGGTGACCCTCTGTGCGCTCAGAAAGTCTGAAGCACCTGGGCTTGGCGAGGGAGGGGCCTCTCCCTGAGGTCCGTGCTCTGCCACCAGCTTGCTCAACTCTAAGCAAGTCACCCCCCTTCTCAGAGCCTCAGGCTCTATACTTGCAACTGGGTGGCTGTGACCTGCCTCTATGAGAGGCATTTGGCTTTGTTGTTAACTCCGAAAGCAGCACAACTGAGGGTAGCGTTGGGGCTCCCCCTCTGCCCTCTGACCGGACCGTGGAATCAGAGGCCTTCATGACCTGATGTTGAATAAGAAACAACCCATTGCTCTTCACCCAGTTCTTGGCACTGGAAGTATCTGAAAGCATCTTCACCGACCATTGTAGTTCTGAAAGGCAGCTTTGAAACCAGTCCCAAGAAAGAGCTAGGAAAAATAAAAATCCTGATTGGGCAGAGGCTCCTGGGGGGTGGAAGAGTCCCACAGCCCCAGTGAGGTCCTGGGATCTGTGGGGGGTCCTTTCCCTGTGTGTCTTATGTTGGTGGGATGGGCCTCAAATTCCCTGTGGACCAGGGCAGAGCCTTGCCTCTCCAAGGCTGTCCCATGGGATGGGTCCTCTCCACTCCTGGCCTCCTGCACACTAGCCCCAGGGACCTCTCCCCATCTCTCCGCAGAGCATCTTCATCTTCTTTCTGGTCAAGTACAAGCCCCTCAAGTATAACAACGTCTACACCTACCCCGCCTGGGGCTACGGCATAGGCTGGCTCATGGCGCTGTCCTCCATGCTCTGCATCCCCCTCTGGATCTTCATCAAGCTGTGGAAGACAGAGGGGACGCTGCTCGAGGTGAGAGGGGAGGAAGAAAGTCAGCAAGGGTGGCCCGAGAGGCCTGAGGTGTAGGGCGGGGCTTGGCTCTGCCTTGGACAGGCTGGTGAGCAGGGTTGAGTCCGTGGGCACTTCTCTGGGTCTCAGTTTCCTCATCTGGGCAATGGGGGGGATGAGAGCAACCTCCCATATGTCTCTCAGCGAAGTCAGATCCTCCTTGATAGGTGTTCATCATGACCACTACGCAGAAGCGGGGTTGAGCCTGCTTCTCTGAGCTCAGCCTCAGTTTCCTCATCTGTAGAATGGGGACAGTGATAGTCCCAAACTTACAGAGGTTTTTGTGAGGACTCAGTGAGTTCATATAGGGAAAGCACTTAGACCAGGATCTGGAACAGAGAGTGACCAGGTTAGCGCTTGCTGTTTCGTTAATGCATTAAGGACCCCATTCCCAGGGCAAGGGAAGAGGACCTAATATTTGGAGACTGCTACCTATTCCATGTCATCACCCTGCCAGGTTTTCTCCTTTAGTCCGCAGAGCAAATCAGAGTGTTGGCATCATTTTCTCATTTAATACGTAAAGAAACTGAAGCTCAGAGAAATTGTCACACAGCCAAAAATTAGCAAACCAAAATTTTTTATTGAGATGTAGTTAGTATACATTATACTCATTTCAGGTGTACAACATAATGGGTCCCATTAAGTGTAGTTAACATCCATCACTACACATAGTTACAGTTTTCTTTTTTTTTAAATTTTGTTTTATTGCTTAAAGTATTACAAAGAGTATTACATATGTCTCCTTTCCCGCCCCCCTTGACATCCCCCCGGCCTCCCCTACCCCCCAGTGTCTTGTGTCCATTGGTTATGCTTATATGCATGCATACAAGTCCTTCGGTTGATCTCTTACCCCCCATCCCGCCCCCCACCCTCCCAGCCTTCCCGCTGCGGTTCGACAGTCTGTTCGATGCTGCTCATAGTTACAGTTTTCTTCTTGTGATGAAAACTTTTAAGAGATGCTCTCTTATCAGCTTTCAAATATGCAAACTCAGTATTAATTAACTGAAGTCACCATGTACATTACATGCCCAAGACTTATTTTATAGCTGAAAGTGTGTATCCTCTGACCCCCTTCACCCATTTTGCCACCCACTAATCTGTCCTCTGCATTTGTGAACTCGGTTGTTTGTTTTGGTTTTTTAGGTTCCACATATAAGTGAACTCATATGGTATTTAGCTTTCTCTGACTTATTCCACTTAGCATAATGTCCTCAAGTTCCATCCATGTTGTCACAAATAGCAAGATTTCCCTTTTCTATGGCTGAATAATATTCGTGTGTGTGTGTGAGACATTTTCTTTATTCGTTCATTGATGTACACTTAGGTTACTTTCATATCTTAGCTTTTGTAAATAGTGCTGTGATGAACATGGGGTGCATATGTCTTCCCAAGCTAGTACTTTTCTTTTCTTCAGATAAATACCCAGAAGTGGAATTTCTGGATCATCTAGTAGTTCTACTTTTAATTTTTTGAGGACACTCCATACTATTTTCTGTAGTGGAAACCAAAAATTGTCAAATAATGGTATTGAAGTATGTTTAAGTATGATAAAATTCACGCATTTGGGGAGTACAATTCAATGATTTTTTAGTGACTTTCAGCATGGTGCATTTATCACCATGAATCAGTTTTACAATATTTTCTTCACCCTAATAAGATCCCACCAGCCCATTCACAGTTAACCCTGTTCCCACCCCCAGACAACTACATGTCTCCACGGATTTGCCTGTTCTGGACACTTCCTCTCAGTGGAATGGTGCATTATGTGGTCTCTTGGTGGCAGACTGAATTATAACCCAAGCCATCTTATTTCCAGAACACTCGCTCTATGTTTACTCTCATTTCCCACCTGCTGGCGGATCAGATGGTTTGAGTTAGTTTCTTGCTCAGTTAGCAAACTGCAGTGTGCCAGACACTATTCTAAGCCATTTACAAGCACCGAGACATTTAATCCTCATAGCAATCCTATGAGGTGCAAGCTCGTATTGTCCCCATTTCACAGATGAGGAAGCTGAAGCACAGAGAAGTGAAGCAACTTACCCAAGGGCACACAGCCTCTAAGTGGTGAAGCAGAGGCTGGGAAGTCTGTGCTCTCATCCCCTGATTTTTATGGGCTCATTTCTCTACTCAGCTGGCTGCACTCATTTGTGGGCCTTATCACGCCAGGGATCTCGGGGGTTGACCTTGATCTCCCAGAACAAGGTCAGTGGGAGATGGGGTTGAGGGGGTGTGTGTAGACACCCGAATGTGATTGCTTATTCAGAATCGGCTTCACTTAGCCTGCTTGCTCACCAAGGGGCCTGGGCTCCAGAAAAAGCTATGCATCCAGCCCAAAGGAGCAAGCCTGCTTGTGCTCCCAGAGTGAGTCAGGCTCCTTGGCACCTGCAGGAAATGTGGGTCAAGGGCAGTTGGTCAATTCTGATTTGGAACCAAACATATCCAGGGGAGAGTGGGCCTGCAGCCCTAACACCTCGGCCACCACAAGCCCCACCCAGCCTCCCAGCGGCCTTTCGGTATTTAGAAATGCCAGTGTCCCCTGAAGAGTTCTCCAGGTTTTCTCAGGCCTGCCTTGGAGGGGAGCGAGAGAGGAGGGAGCGGCCACTTTGCTGAGCTCCCTCTGTCTCGCTAAGCTCTCATATCTGCTGCACAGAGATGGGGCTTATGAAAGACAGTGAAGTCTTCGGAGGTTTCCAGCCCTTCCCTACTGGGAGAACTTGTGTCAGTTCATCTACCCCCCTCCATTTCCAGAAGGCTCTGCCAACTGGCAGGAAGGATCTGGAAGGAAAATTGGGGTCAATAGCCCTTACCTCAGAGAATTGCTGTGAATATAGATATCCTGTGCTAATTTGTGGCTAAATCAACTAATCTGAGCCTGGGGATAATCCTAGAAGGCATGTACCAGAATTATCCCCCTTTGACGCCTGAGGAAACTGAGACACAGAGATGTTATTTTTGTGCCCTGGTTAAATGGTAGATCTGGGGTTCAAACCAGGTGCCTGGTTCCCAAGTCCATGCTGTTAACTCCTGTCCGGTGTCAGGAGCCTGGTGCCGTGCCTGTTAACCCCATTTGGGCAACATAGGTTCAGCCTCTTCGGCCTGGCAGGATCTGCAAGAGAAAACAGAACCTTGATCACGAGAAATCAGTCACCCAAACATCTTCCCAGCCTTTCTGGGGAAAGGGTTTATGCCCAGAAAAGATCTCTTTAATCCTGGCCTGGTTTCTTCCCTCGAGGGACCTAGGGGATGCACAGGAAGCTGAGGTATGGGACCCCCAAGGCAGGGCTGTGGTGGCAGGAGTGAGTCTGCCTGTGGCCTCCACTTCCTCCTCAGTATAGTGGGGCAATAGCCATTCCATTCGTGCCCAGCCCGGTGCCGGCCACACTACAAGGTGGATGAGGCTGTGGCTTTGAGTGTTGGCACTAGTGATAGTTCTGCACCTTCCAGTTGTGGCCCAGGGAGCAGTGGCACACACACATGCTCTCCTGGGTGGTGGCAGCATGAGGACATCCCTTTTGTGGGAAATGCTTCCATTTATCCAGCAGTCGTTATAGAAAGCCCTAGAGATGCCTTCGCTCACCCTCACAATAGCTCTGCCAGCAGGTACTATTACCCCATTCCACAGATGAGGAAAAGGAAGCTCACAGAAGTTAAATGACTTGCCCAAAACAGATAGTGAGTGGCCGCTCAGCGATTCGGACCAGCTGCTCTGTCTCTTCAGAGGGAAGGGGTGGGGCAGTCGGCCCTGATTGCACCTCTCCCATCCTAGTCACCTACAGTGGGCCAGGTACAGGCTAAGCACTTCAGCACCCCCTACTCCTTACCAAATGCCAGGAGTGGGTATCTCCATTGTCCCCATTTTCTGGACATGGAAACTGAGTCCCAGGGAGCTCAATTCACTATCCAGGAAAGCTCTAAGTGGCAGAACTGTGGCCTGGACCTCAATCTGATTACTCCAAGCTATCCCTCTACCCACTGCCCAACCCCCGTGTTCACCGTGAGGCTGGGAGAGGCCAAGGCAGGCCCCAGGGCCCTGGCAACCACTCTCACACAGCTCTTCTCCCTCCACTCCAACCACCTAGAAATTCCGGAAGTTGGTGATCCCCAGTGCTGATCTGAAAATGAGAGGCAAGCTTGGGGCAGGCCCACGGACGGTGATGGTTAATGACTGTGACGCCAAACTCAAGGGCGATGGGACCATTGCCGCCATCACAGAGAAGGAGACGCACTTCTGAGTGTCCACCTGCCACCTCGGATGCCTCTGCTTCCTTCTCCTTCCCCGGGGGTATGAGAGAGCACCTGAAAGCGTACTTCACCTAATGATAGAGGCTTGCTCGTTTTGCACAGGACTTATTAACAAGTTAATTTTAAGGTGGTTGTGTACACTGTTTTAAAGTCACATTCCCCTCCTCGCCCCCAATTATCATGTAAGTAACATTACAAAGAGTTAATACTGTACAGGGACTAGCGGAATCTTGTGCTAGGACACTTTTAACCGGTGTTTTCTAGGGGTTAAGAAAAAAAAATGTATCATATGATCAAATTTTTATACTCAGGCTGTGGGCGGGTGGGGTGGGAGCGATGCCTGTCCTCCTGTCAGCCTTTTATTCAGCCAGTCCATGCCCCATGTTTGTCCCTGCCCTTTGCTGCCCACCTCCTCACCACCTCCAGGAGTGGGGGGCTTTTCCTTCAAACCCTCCCTTACCCATCCCCAACCTCTTAGCAGTGGGTTTGCAGACAGCAAGGCTGTGTCCCGAGAAGAAAAAGTCCCCTGGTCCTACTGAGTGGCTTGGGCACGCCCTTCCACTCCCTGGGCCGGTTTCCCTGTCTCCTAAATGCGAGGGCTGGGCCAGGCGATCCCCAGGTCCTTCCCTGCCTGGCAGCCTCTCTGGGGGATTCTTGCTGATGCCTTGCTGGCTTGCAGATCTGCCATTCATCTTGGATGCTTCTGAAGACTCTCAGGTAGTCATCCTTGCACCCACCCTCAACCGGCTTGTTTTAAATCAAGTTTATCATGGAAACAATGTGGTGGTGATGTGTGTTTTCCCCAAAACTCTAGTTTGATTTCACCCGTGAGTGGTCTGTCCTCTGGAGACCAGCCATGTTCTGACCCCTGTCGGGCTCCTCCTGCTCTGCCTCTCTCACCCTCAGCTCTGCCTCTCTCACCCTCAGCTCTGCCTCTCCACCGGAAGTGGCGCTGGCTGGGGTTGCCTGGGCGCTGGTTCTCAGGCTTAGGAAGCAGCCTCTATTCTTCTTGCAGCTGCACATCCGGCCGATGTCCCAGCCAGGAAGGACCTGCACTGTAGGATGTTCCCCCAGCCACTCAGGAGAAGGAGCTATGGGGGCCTGGAGCCTGGTTTCATCCTCCAGCCCCTGCCACATCTTCTCCCCCTGGCTGTCCCAGGCAGGCCCTCCTCTCTCCTCTGCCATCCTGATACCTCCGTTCCTCCCCCTCCTTCCTGTCACCAGCAGAACCTTGGAACCTTGAGGAAGCTTCTTCCCCATCCTTTTCTGGGGAGCCTTCCTGCAGCCTCTCTCCCAGGTGCTGAGAAGCCTCAGTGCTTACGAAGGGCAGCCTGGGCTCCCTGCCCCTCCTCTGTGCAGGCCCGGGCTCTGGGGGAAGCTGGCTCCTTCCATAGCTCTCTGGATGATTGCTCTCCTTTTTCTTTAATTGGATTTTACATCAAGCCTCTACCTTGGATTCTGAGTTATTTGGGGAAAGGGAAAGTGCATTCTTCTTTCTTTTTTTTTTAATCCTCACCCAAGGATATTTTTTCCATTGATCTTTAGAGAGAGTGGAAGGGGGAGAGAAAGAGAAGGAGAGAGAGAGAGAGAGAGAGAGAGAGAGAGAGAGAGAGAGAGAGAGAGAGAGAGAGAGATGTGAGAGAGATATGTCGACTGGTTGCCTCCTGCACGTGCCCCAACCTGGGCCAGGGATTGACCTGCAACCAAGGTAGGTGCCCTTGACCAGGAATCAAACCCACAACCCTGCAGTCCATGGGCAGACACTCTAACCACTGAGAAAACCAGCAAGGGTGGAAGGTGCATTCTTTATCCTTTTCCTTTATGCTCCCAATTTTATTTGGTGGAAATGCAAGCTTTGTCCACACTGAGGCTTACGTTTCCTGTAACAAACCTGTGCGATTGACTCATCCAAAAGTTCCCAAGCTCCCAGCTTCTCTGCTCTGGGCACTGCCCCCATCTTAGCCCACGTTTGCTGAGAGGGATGTCCAGTGCTGCCCAGGCAGGTGGGACACCTGGTTCTGGTTCCCCTTTTGCACACACAGCCAGGCCTGCCTGGCCCCTCCCTGAGCTCTTTGATCTGGTGGACCCAGGAAATGGACCCAGGAAGATCAGGGCTCAGCTGGGCCCCCTGCTCGTGTCTGCTGTTGTCTGCTCTTCTCCCAATAGGTCCTGGGGAGGGCGTCTCCCTGCTGCTGCTGCTACGGTTCTCCCCCCACGGCTCCCACGGATGCTCAGCCCGCAGCCTCCTGGCACGCACTGCACTGTACATACATCACCACTTAACATCTCACTCACTTAACACGACTAACAGGGCAGGGCGGAGGGAGGGCCTGTGTTCTTTGTTTTTTTGTAATTTCCTACTAGTATTTGGGTAACTTTGTGGGGGGTGGGGAGGGAAATGTGGGGGCGAGGGAAGCATCATTGTGAAAACTTTTTTGATATTCATTAGAAACAATACATCCTTTCTGAGATATTTACAGTATTATTAAAAATGAAAAAGGTTGTACTGTTTTACGTAATGAACATTTTTATTGGGTATTCAAAGGGCACACCGTTGTCTGCTTACTCATTTTTAAAAATTAAAGGAATGAACAAACTATAAGCAAAGCGATACTCTTTCGATTTTCTTCCCGATTTTCCTCCCTGCTATTCCTGCAAAAGTGTCTTGGTTTCTTATTTGGAGGTTGCAGTCTCAACTCAGGATTACAAACTGGAAACACTCAGGGGTGTTTCAGATCACACTTCCTTCCTCATGTTTGCCATGCATTGAATGTCCACTGTGTGCTACGTGCTTTATAAGCTATCTGTGTAATCCTCACAACAACCCCATAAAGGAGGCACTTCCCCACTCTATTTATTACTAGAGGCCTAGTGTATGAAATCCGTGCATGGGTGGGGTCCCTAGGCCTGGCCGGACATCAGGGCCTATTGGGGTTGTCTCGCACAGTCGCAATCAGGGCCGGGCTGGCCAGGACCTGCCAGCTGCTGGCCAGGGCCTGATGGCTGCCAGCCAGGGCCTGGGGCTGCAGGCCAGGGCCTGGGGGCCTGCTGACTACCAGATGGGGCCTGCCAGCTGATGGAGGGGGCCTGCCAGATTGGGGGGAGGGACCGTGGGAGGTTTGCCGGCCAGGGGGAATGACCAGGAGAGGTTGGCTGCCTGTGGGAGGTTGGCTGTGGGAGAGCACTGACCACCAGGGGGCAGCTCCTTCATTGAGTGTCTGCCCCCTGGTGGTCAGTGCGCATGATAGCGACTGGTCGACCGGTCATTCCAGTTATTCCGGTCGTTCGGTCGTAAAGGTCACTTAGGCTTTTATATATCTAGATTTTTCCCACATTACAGAGAGGGGAAATTGAGCACAGAGAAGTCAAGCCCTTTGCCCAGAGTCACACAGCTAGTAAACAGCAGGACAGAAAGAGAAGTCAGGTCTGTCTGACCTCAAAACCCAGTCGTGATCACTATGCCTTACTGTGTCTTGTGCTGCAAATCCCCTTCACAATAGCAACAGCAATAGCTGCCACAAAGCTCATGCACCTGTCCTCATAGGCAGACCTACATGTGTGAGGCAGGCAAGGTGGGGGAGAACGAGGTGAGGATTCAGAGCATGCAGCCTAGGTTTGGCTCTAGGCTCTTCCCTTGCCGGCCTCGGTTTCTTGAGCTCTATAGTGTGGCACAGTACAAGTCTACCCACTTCTCTGGGCCTCCGTTTAGCCATAGATAGAATGGCAAGAAAGTGAGACCCAGATAGGGAACATAGCTGGTTCAGGACTCCCCTGGAAGTCCTCTGCACCGTTTCATGGACTCAGCCCCCTGCTCCGTCTCGTGCTGTTAAAAATCAAATAAGCTCTTGGTCTGGGCACCTCATTACTCACAAGGGAGCAAAGTCAGTCCTTGTTGCCAACTCCTGGCCTTCTCTGCCTCTCTTGAATAAGGCCCACTTTGTGGGGCATACTTGGAGAAGTAATGCATGCACTTCTCTCAGAGCTTCCAGGCTAGCTGAAGTGTCAGAACCACCCCCATAAGAAACTATAAGCAGGAACCCAGAGCTCAGGGGATGCTAGGGGTAGCAATAAGAACTGTTTATTGGTCTGGCCAGTGTCACTCAGTGGTTGAGCATCGACTTATGAACCAGGAGGTCACGGTTCAACTCCTAGTCAGGGCACATGCTTGGGTTGTGGGCTCAGTCCCCAGTGCGGGGCATGCAGAAGGCAGCCAATCAGTGATCCTCATCATTGATGTTTCTCCCTCTCCCTTCCTCGCTCTCTAAAATCAATAAAAAAACATTTTAAAATATATTTTTAAACTTTATTGAATACCTACTATGTTCCAGGTATCATGTGTGCATTACCTCATAGGAGCCTCACAACAAATCTAAGAGGTAAGTATTACTAATATTTTTCATATAAAGAAACTAAGGTTTAGAGACTAAATAAATTGCCCAAGGAGATATCAGGTATACCTGAAGGCAGAGGAGCTGTGTGGGACCTGGTTTGCTGGGTCTAAATAGAGCTCACATACCCAACCACCTAACCAAGGATGTGGGACTTGAGCTGCACCTGAGGGATGGGGAGAGTCCTCCAGGCAGGGGAGGACACTTGAGATGAGGGAATAGCTGGAGCAAAAGTAAAGAAATGACTTTGGAGGCAGAGTGTGGAAATAAAAGTCCTCCCCATCCTCGGTCTACTAATACAACTTTACCTGCTGTGAGGCTGGGGTGGCCTCCCCAGTCTCTTCGATAGAGCACGGGGAGCATGCTCATCAGGGATGGCACCTGGTGCAGGTCTTGGCACAGAGTGGGTGCTCCATAGGGCAGCAGCTTCAATGAACAAGTGCCCAGCTTGCCCCAGAGTGGAGAGCCACAGGAAAGGGAATAAATAAGCATTGGAGACTCAGTATTGGAAATCATGCTGGGCCCTTTCATGTGGTACCATGCCCTCAGCCACCCTGTGGGTCAGCATGGTGTTCACATTCTACCAATGAGGAGACGGGCTCAGAGGAGCAGAGTCCACTATCCTGGGTCCCAGAGCTGGCTAACGGCCAAGCTGCGGATCAGCCCTGGGGGTCCCTGGCTCCAAGGCCATGCACTTGCCACAGCTTACTTTTGGGAGCCACCGCATGCCCCCACAACCATCAGCATTGCTGGCTCACTCAAGGCTACAGAGCAATTGGTGGTGGCGGAGGCCCTGTAGGGAACGTCTTTAGGAGCCTTGAAACACCTTTGTTGACACAAACAAACTTTGAACGACTTCATAGTTCCCAAGACGTGTCGCTAGAGTTCACTGAGATGGATAAGGGGATGTTTGGGGCCAATGAGAAGCATTGAGGGTGGAAGGGACCAATTGGGACCCCTAGAGATCTGGGAGGTGGGCAGGTCCTAGGGATCTAGTAGAACTAGGTGGAGCCTCAGTGGGTGCTGGGGTCCTTGGGAGTTGCGAGGGGTTGAGCTCACTGGAGGGTGAGTAGGAGAGTTATGGGGACCTTTGGAAAAATGAAGGGTCATGGGGAGCACTTCAGAGCCAGAGGGGTACGAGGAATTATAAGAAGGATTAGGACCCTTGATCATTGGGGCACTGGAGCCATTCAGAGTTGTAGGGGGTCCTTGGGGTCACTGTGGGAAGCATGACTCTGAAGAGTACCCTGCAGAATGCAGCCTTGAGGAGAGAGGAAGTGAGGAGGGTGTTAGAAATGCTTTCAGAGGTGTGTGTGGGGGGGGGGGGGGTGAGAGGGGGAGGGTAAAGACAGTGGAGCTGGTGTGAATGTGAATGAAGAAGGCGAGTGCCCAGCCAGAATTGCAAACCACAAGAGGCAGCAGGCAAGTTGGGCCTGGGCCAAGGATTTCATGACCTTCGCCTATTGAGATTAGAGCAGGCTTGGCTCTTTTGGAGAAACTCCACCTGCGTGTGTCAAGCCAAGCCAACATCTGGCTTTTCTTATTCCCCCAGGAATTTTCTCTGCCTGCCTTTTGAGTCTCTTTCCAAATCCAGTCACTTCCGACTGCAAAGGGTCTTGCAGCCTGGTCTAAGCAGGAACATGAGCCTCCTCAGAGAAGGGTGGCTTAGGAGAAGCCCAGCAGTGGGGCTGAGCCTGATCTGAGGGAGCCCCTAGTCAGATGGTGGACAGAGGGATCAGAGGAAACAGTAGAGCAAAGGCAAGTACCATTTATTGACCACCTACAGCATCGTTTGTTGAGTACCTACCATGCACCTGGGAGAGGGTCAAGTATTAGCTTCAAAACAACCGCAGCAGCTGTGATTTGTTCTCGTTTTACAGATGGGGAGACACCTGGATAGGTAAGTGCGGGAATTTGCCCAACGTCACAGACGAAGCTGGAATTCAAAGCCAGGTCTATCAAACCCCGAGTCCTTGGTTTTCTTCCTCTGTACCAGGCAGGTTAGCTCGGGTCTCTACCAGGGAAGAATGAACCCCCAGGCTCTGGTGGCAGCAAATCAGCCACCAGGTGGCACTATGGCTAAACCCAAGCCCTTGCCCTAACGTCCGGGCTGGGACCAGAGAGGTCAGAACTGGA